AGGTGGCACCGGCCCCGCTCCCTTGCCCACCGCAGCTCCAGAGCCCCCGTGTCTGCAGGATTCGCACCCTTGCTTCGTTTTAACCACGAAAAAGGGATTTGTCCCAATAAACCTCAGGCCCAACAATGCTCATGTACTAAAAAAGCCCCAAGTGAAGAATGCGGTGAAGGTACCATATCCTGCAATAAAACCCCTCCCTTTTCTCCCAGCAGCTGCCGGCCTGGAGGCTTCAGCTCTCGCCACGGACATGTGTCCGTGTGGGACGGCGGCTCCGGCTTGCGGCAGCCCCCGGCAGCGCGGCCCGAATCGGCCGCGAGCGGAGCAGGGATGGCCGTGGAGCAGGGACACACATGGGACAGGGATACCCGTGGAGCAGGGATACCCGTGGAACAGGGATACCCGTGGAGCAGGGATACCCGTGGAGCAGGGACACATGTGGAGCAGGGACACACATGGGGCAGGGATGTCCATGGAGCAGGGACACACATGGGGCAGGAACACATGTGGAGCAGGGAGCAGAGACACATGTGGAGCAGGGATACACATGGGGCAGGGACACACTTGGAGCAGGGATACACATGGAACAGGGATACCCATGGAGCAGGGACACCCATGGAGCTTGGACACACGTAGGGCAGGGACACACATGGGGCTGGGACACATGTGGAGCAGGGACCCTGTGCAGCAGGGACACACGTGGAGCAGGGATACACATGGGACAGGGACCCTGTGCAGCAGGAACACACGTGGAGCAGGGAGCCTGTGGAGCAGGGACACATGTGGAGCAGGGATACCCATGGAGCAGGGACACACGTGGAGCAGGGACCTTGTGCAGCAGGGACACATGTGGAGCAGGGACACACTTGGGGCAGGGACACCCGTGCAGCAGAGCGCGCGCGGAGCAGGGCCCCGCGCTCACCATGTTGGGGAAGTAGGCCGTGGCCTTGCCCTCCCCGTCCATCCTGAAGAGCGCCGGCAGGTCGACGATGTCGCTCTCCGCCAAGCCCAGCTCCTTCTTGAGGATGTCCCTGTTCCAGTCGATGCAGCGCTGGGCAGCGGAGGGCAGAGCCTTGAGGCCGGGCCCGGCGCCAGCCTTTTCCGGGGCTCCCGGTGCCGCCCGCCCTCACCTGCGCGTACTGGTTCTGTCGCACCAGGGCGTCGCTGGAGAGGACCTTGTTGATGGTGACCCGCTTGGTGTCCGTCCCGGATTAGCCTGCGAGCGCAGATCCCGGTTGGGAAGGGGAACGTGGCTGCCAGCAGCGTCTCCCTGGCCGCGGGAGGGAGGGAGGCGCTGGGATGCGGCTCCGGCTGAGGCCGTTGGGAATCCCAACAGGGAGCTCTGGGAAAAGCGGGCGCTGGGGACATCCCTCAGCGCCCGGCCCGGCCTGGGGGCGCTTGGACAGCTCGGAGTCCTGCCCGGGGGAATTGGCTGCTGTTTCTCCTCTCCTCCATTCCCAGCTGGGCAGG